AAGCTTCATTTTTTGCCTTTAAACTTCAGTTGTGCTCCATTTAAATGAAAATCATTACAATCTTTGTGGTAAAATAATGTGTTTTCTAACAATACGTATTAAGCACTAATACTTATTATTAGATTATTAGACCCTGCTGAATGGAAGACACCTATGTCGGACACACAGGATGGGCCATATACAGTATGTACGTCCTCAAGGACATCTTGTGGAATGAGTTAGCTGAGGAAAGCAGACTCTCACACCACCCCTAGTTCCACGACAAGAGCATATTTAAAACCAATGGAATCTCTTGTCAGAATTAGAGTCACCTGGCATTAGCAATTTGAAAATGGCATGGAAAGACACTATAAGACTGCAACTCCTCCAAACTGACAAAAAGGATTAGTATAGGAAGCTGTATACCAAGTCATGTTCACTAACATGCAGTGTGTGACAGATCTTGTCATTCCATCACTGGCCTCTTCAGCCTCTCCTGAAAGTGTCAGAAGACCTAAGGCAAACATGGTCCCCTGCTACACCTTGTCTTCTGCAGATAGACAGATGCCAACTCATTGTTAATTATACAATGCTAACCAATTAACCTTTTTTAGCACCACATTTTGAACAGTATTAACGTGCCATTCAAAATGTTGCAAATGTTGCAGTCCACATTCAGTTATTATGCCTCAAATTATCTGAAATGCTAAAAAATGTGTCAACATTTTTTATAATTTAAATTTTTTATGTATCACGTTTTTATGTCATACAGTTTTCACAGGTATGGCTTACTAACAGACTAAAAGTATGAGTGACATAGGCAGACTAGGTTAACTGTGTGTGCATTCAAAAGGAACACCTGTCACACAACAGCAGCAGCTCACAGAGCAACAACAGTTGTGTGGAGATCCATAACACATTGACTCAAACGTCCATGGTCACATTGTGACTCAAGAGCACAAGAAGAGCTCGTATTCACACTGCAAGAGTCATTAAAGGGTTTGCTTTGATAATCAGGGATAAACAGGATACACCAGTCTGTTGTATTGTACTTAATCCAATTGAACACAGAAGAGATGAGTTGGGTAAACGTGTCAGAGACAACCACCAACGAATGACACTGTTCACATGTCATGAAATGAAGAGGGCACCTGTCAGCTATATGTAATGCCTCTGCCAGTCTCTGCAAATTGTATGCTGGAGTTCAGGATATGGGTGGACAAGTCTCATATTGCAAAGGAACTTAATCTGTTTTCAGCAGGGAATAAACCTTTACTTCTTCCTTTGCTGCCTACGCTTGCTGACGCAGCTCCCCACCTGAACTACTTCATGTCTCATATTGGTCACTTGCGCGGGGGTACCAGACTCGAGTGCTGCGTGTGACTCACAGCACACTTTGCACTCAAACTTTCTCATTTGAATTCTTTTTCGGAAATGATGAAATTATGTCACGGCCAAAATCTGTAGAAAAAAGAAAAATTTCAGGGTAAACCTAGTTTATTAAGCGTGATGTTAATTGGGATTTAGGATTGCTTTTCATATATGCATCTTTTGCAAGATTGTATTGAGCTTGAGCCCAAAGCACAAGTTCTAAATTCAGCAGTGTAGCCCCTTCCTCTCCACATCATTTCCTGGTTTCCCCAGTCAGTGGACCTTGTCAGTAGACACAATATTATTATTTTTTTTATTTGTATGACTGACATGACTGCACACTTACAGTACTTAGGATCTCTTCAGATCTTGCCAGATTTCCAGATCCAAAACAGATTCCGTCTTTACAAATGTCTTCAAAGTTTATCAACATTTAAAATGTTTCACATTAACTCCTCTACTTTTCAGCTGCTTTAAAAAAAAAAGCATAAACTTTTGTTTTTAACATAGCAAAGATGAATAATAAGAAAAACTGCACTCTGTGGACTAAAACTAGAATATAGTCATGAGGAAAACTGGATTTTCTTATTGTAACAGTTCACCTTGGTAGCATAACTGCAAATACTGTACATTTGTTCTGTATTTCCAAAGGTTTATGGGCTTAAAATGACAGAAATTTGTGACATGTAGTATCAGTAGCAGGTGTGACATTTGTCTCAGTATTCTGCGAGTCAATTTTTTAACAAAAAATGGTTGCAAAGGTAAAGGTACAGTAGATAGTGCTGCTGTATGTAACACCAAAGTATCATCAAATTAAAACAAATGTTTTATGAAGGTTTGAAGAAAGAAAGAGTTTTTGATGGCATATTGCTTTTTATTAACAATGCCCTTGAAACTTTATCCGAATAGCTGGTAAAATTTTAACTGTTTGAAATTTGAAGACACAAAAAATCCAACAAATTGAAAATTAGAATTCTTCTAACCTACGCCAGGCCGAATTAGTTTTTTTTTTTTCAAACATCTACGTCTCTAATCTGATGTCTGGCTTGAGATGAAAAGGAAAAAAGAAGAAGCTACCTGCGTCTGTACAAAAGTCCTCCCAGCTCTTTGCCTCTGTATTCAGCTGAAGCGATGGAGCTCTCTGCTCACTCTTGATTTATTAGGTCATCTCCCCTGGCTTTGCTGTTTGCCTCTCACTACAGAGGAAGCTCCAGGGAGATCAGACTTTCAGTCATTGTGCCCTAAGACATGAGATGTGCTTCCAAACACCATCAAAGATGCTGAATCATTAACTGTCCTCACAGTGTGCCAGTCTGGGACTCATCTTTGCTGTGCTTCATCACGACGGATCCACGCAGAGCTGCTGTTTGACCTGAGATGTCCTTGGCCTGAAGAGTACATTGGAAAAAAAAACGAAACAGAAAACCATTCGGAAACAACCTCTACAATGAGCCCGGAAGTGGAAGAAAAAAAAACCATTGTGATCAAGGAAGAATGGAGATGTCGCTTTAGAAAGGGTTGTGCTTTTCTCTAATTGGGATTTTCATTTTGAATTTTTGGTGTTATTTGTTTGCTTTGTAGATGTCCTTATCCAGTGTGACACTCTATACAAAATTTTATATTACACTTGATGGAGTCCTGATTGTACTGTAGATTTTAATCACTGTATTTTTTTGCACAACTTTTATTTTCTTAAGTCAGATTTGAATTTGAACCCATGTTAAAAATAAATAATAGGATGGAACAAGCTTCCTTCCAAAGATACTCCTAGGTACAAGGGTCCTGTGTGGCTCAGGCTATGGTCAGTATCTTTCAGAATGAATCTAAAGGAAAGGCTAGTTATTGTCACATTTATGTCACTCTATTAATACTTTACTAATATATTCAATTCATAAAACATTTATAAATGGCATTTGAGATTCCTAATCTAAAATGTGATTAAAAACAGCACCACATTCTTCCCCCCTCTGCATTACTCTTATCCAAACTGGAAATGTACAGTAGCAACTCAAAATATGCTTACCATGTGTGTATGCTTATAGGATGTTTGTATTAACACATACTTTATGTATGTATAATTCAAACATGTTAGTATGTTTTTCTTGATTTTGCCAGGCATCTTATCCTTTTTGACCCAATTTGCAAGTAATGAATTTGTAAATACTGCTTTAGGCACACAATAACATTTTTGGAGTCGGAAACTACCCATTCACTGACCTTTTTGCAGTGACAAATAAGCCCTTTTCTGAAAACACCAAGTCAGTGTTTTTAGCCAGCCGTGCCCTCGCATTACACACGCCTACTGCTGCAGTAGGAAATGGCCTTATTCCACTGATGTCACAGAGAATAATGTAGAAAATCTCCTCCGAGCTCTAGCAATTTGATGCAAATGTTAACAGATTAAGATTAGAGTGGAATGCTTCCGTGCTGTGAACCCTTTGTTATTAATAGAGAGTTTTAATCATGGTTTGTCCCAGGGCACAAGCTGCAGCAGCAGCAGCAGCAACAGCAGCAGCCCAGACAGGGAGATATGGAAATGAAGGCTTTGCGTGCTGGGAGCAGTCTGAAACAGTTGAAGACCAGGAAGCTGCGACACCCTGACATCTCTTAGAGGCTCAGAAACAAGACGGCACTTCTCTCCCCCCCCCCCACAATGATTAATTGATTTCTGCCTGACGTTTTTTCCATTATTTAAACATTGCAATCTCGGTCCGCTGTTTGCCGAGCCCATTAATTCGGCAGCGGCGTTCCTAGTGTTTCTGCAGAATGCGGGAAGGGGATAAATTATTAAGTTGGCTGTGAGGTGGTGGGACAGTTTCACATCGACTGTAGCGCGTGTCATCCCATTCGGCGACAGAGGCAAACTGGCAAGGACCGGCTTGACAAAAATCGAGAGTGACTTGAACATCCCAGGCCAGAACCGGTTTTACCCTGTTTTGCGAGAGGCAGCAGCTGACAATTTCCAGAATCATCTGCAGCTTCCTCCCAACCCCCCAGGCTCTGCCTTCAATAATAGGGACTGGATGAGAGGGCTTTAATTTGCTGATTCAGGGATTCCTTGTTGTCCATTGCTGATTGGGCAAAGAGGTGAATGGTGCTAGCAGGGTCCATTAGAGATACATTAGATGATTGCTTTTGACTGCATTTATCATAGTAACCATTAGGAAAACGTGAAGAGTGTTGTCATATTGAAATTCATTAAATCAAATGACTATGGAATCATTATGATTATAGACTATTTCATCATCGTCATCATAACAATATAAGCAGCATCAGGGTTTCAAAGTTGTTCATCGGAGTTGAAGCCTAGAGGTAACATTTAGTTGTAGAAACACTTCTGCTTCTACTCAATTTAGAGATGATCTAAAAAGAAAAGGAATGAACATCAATGATTAAGGACAAATGTCATAACCTGGTCATTTAGCTTCCCTTGATGTGGAAGATCATTTGAATATACTGTAAGATTTGCTTGTTCCTGTTGCAGTTTCATGTTTTGTTATTAGATGTTTTGTTATTTCAATTGTTTATTATGAGAAAAATACAGTTTAGATTTATGGCCCAGACCCTAAAAAATATGCTCCAACATTCTTACAGAACCACAAAACATCTTAAACACACTGTAACAAATCACAGCTGAAAAGCCGTAAAAGCTCTGTCATGTTTAGAAGTTTATTAATGTGTTTTAAAACGGAACATTGTGTTCCGAATCTTAACACATCATAGGATTTCACAGTGTTCACCAAAATGACCTGTCCACTCTTTTCAGATCTCCAGTTACATAACAGCAGTCCAAATGATAAAAACACACAATATGATTTAAAAATGTTCTAGAAGTTTTTAAAAAATGTATTTAAGAAGTGTCCCACTGCTTTTACAATGCATGAAAACTTCAAACTTAGTGTCCTTTTTGTCACGTATGGCACCATTTACCTGATACATGGCACTGGAAATTAAAAAAAAAGAAAGTCGGGTGCACAGGATTTTTTGGGAGCCTTATGCATGTGAATATATTTTAAAAATGGAAAATACAGTATCTCAAGGTTAGCTAAAGGCTTCTATTACATTTTGCTATAATGTTTTCCTTTGCTTTGATCTCTTCTATGTACCACTATTTCTTTGGTGACCATGATACTTGAAAATGGTGTTGTGCTGTGAAATGGTTTAATGTTCGACAGGACACGTTCATTTAAATCCCCCTGGTGGCTGTTTTCCGTCACTCTTGTGTCTATGTAAGGTTGTACGTGAAGGGCGCAAGATGCCTCCCTGTTTGTAGACACTGTTGTGGCCTTTCATGTGTCGCTGAGTCCTCAGCTGTTGAGGACTTGCTTGGGCCCGCTCCTTGTGGTGCTGGATCTTAATCTTACCAGAACTGACTCACGGCAGTCAGCCTCGCAAGTTGATCAACCAGTAAAGATCCAAGCCTGGATCGGGTCAGGAAATGCTGTGGCTGAGATTCCCTAAGTGGTGGCATACAATTGACTGAGCATTATCTGGGGTAGAGAGGGACTAGCCAACGATGGCTCTCGGTTCTCTGTGACCCCTGGGGCTTCCTGGGTGCCTGTGTTGTTGGTGAGGGAGGCGCCTCCTCTTCAATCGATGCTGATCCGGTGGTACTGGCCTGAGGTGCCCGTGACCTGTTAAAAGATGAAGGGCTTGAAGCTGGGTGGGTCAGAGACGGCAGCCTGCTTTTCCCCATTCTCCCCTTTCCTGTGAGCAAAGACATTAAACTGGCTGTTCTAAATTGGATGGCTATAACGCAACTTATTGGCAACTGTACTTTATTGCAATGGTTATTTTTAAACATTAATAATTGTAAGAGGCCATGTGCTATACGGAAGCACGTTTTTCAAAGCAGGAAATTGTAGAGGGATACAGTAGTTATTATGAGTCACGATTTTTTGTGGAAAGGGAGTTTGATTTTAGGATTATTTTAATGAAGTTAATTGGCTCAATAATTTGTGGGCTGGTATTAGCTGATGTCTCAAGTAACAACAAGCACGCATTACAATGCTGTTGTGTTCAAACTCAAACCCAAAGCCCAAAGCCGAAATTCAACAGTGTAACCAATTCCTCTACACGTCATTCAACCAGCAACTGCATTAATAACGGAAAGCTCAGCCACAAATTAGGACTAAGGGTCTTGTCAACAGAAAGAGCAGTTATGGAAGTAATTGCAAATCCATGGAGTCCAAAAAAAGAAAAAAGATGAGTGGAAGCAAATAAAATAAATAAATAACAATAAGGACCTTTTAACAATTAGGTCATTTAAATCGCCTGATGCAAATGAGAAAATATTACTGACTTAATGCAGTTATTCAGTCAGTTATATTTTGTATCCATTGTGTATCTTTTTGTATTTATCTGTTCTTATAGAAATTTGTATCTTATAGTGCTGAAACTTTTGTTTTTTTGTTTTAATTTCCCAGAGAATCTTTTATCTCACCTGCGCTGCCTTAAGACATTTAGACATTTATGCAATCTAGCATAAATCGCTTAACAGAAAATTAAAAATCTGTAGATAATCCCTTTTATACAGAGTATGTTAATAAAATCATCACTGAGGTTGACCCCAAAATGAACTTTTATGCTTTTATGGTAAATTTCAAATGTACATTTAGAAATATTTTGTTATCTTGTTATTTTGTAGAAATGAATCATTGCCAGACCCTTTAACATAACCACCAAATATGACAAGAGTCAACTAGCACTTATAATGCATGTACAGTGGGTGTTAATACAGTATACAGTATATTGATATAATTCAGTATCATACAAATGGACATTTGAAAAGGAAAATCTCCTAAGATTGCAAAATGTTCGTTTTAGTATTTTCCCCACATGAACATTAAAATAGCTTTATGGCTATGTCTTTTAAAGAAAAATCATTAGATTATTCGATCTATCACAGCTACCTGAGAAGAAAGTGTTTTTCTGTCTGTTTTTGCTGATCTTGTTTCTAGCCCTCTTTTGAATGATGTCTTATTGGTATCCTTAAAGATTAAAATCACAAAGTGCGTTACCTTGGAGCAGTTTTTTTCCTTACCTTTTAGGACCCATCTCCAGTGTGCTCTTTTAGAGAAGCCATTATACCAAAGCCTCTTCTGTGAACATTTAAGAAATCAGGGTAGCGAGGTTGCAGAAAAACAGTTGTGTTAAGCCTGATGTCTAATGTAAATTCCATTAAAAGCCAACACAGTTGAAACCAAGTATACAGTACCTATATCCCCTTTGATTATTCACCCTAAGACAAATGTGCAGTTTCCCATTGTGTATTTGAGAAACAGTACTGTAGCATTTGATGTTGCTGTATACAGTGGCGATGCAGAGTAATGCAGGAGACCGTCATGTGACAGCAATGAGAACAAATAGTGTATTTGATTTGGAAAGCAGATGAATGTGAACAGAAGAAATACTTTCTTTGAGCTTTGATTCTACTGTATATTTTTAATATTAAATAAGCTACCCCTTACTGTTTAATGGGTTCATGATCAAAGATTGACAGAACATTTTTGTTTATACAGTAGTATGTGTTTTTTCAAATACTGTTTATGTGTTATTTTCAAATATTTAATGTGTTAATCCCTGGAAATAACTGGAAATAGTTCAGCAGAATTGAGTTATCTTTATATATTATACAGTTGTTCAGTATTTAAACACTTCATTTGATTGGTATTTCATGACAGAAATGAAGACATGAAAACAATTTAAATTATTGCAATACATTTTAATTTGCTTAAATAACC